GGACGGGAAACATTTATGCGGAATATTCATAGGATTTTAAATTTATACATAGAAAGGTTCTAAAAGAAACTAATTTAAAAACGGAAATTGTAGGAAAATCGAGAGAAACGGTTCCGAGATTATTCTATAATTTCTAGAAAAAAAAATAATCACTGTAAAACTTAATTATACCGAAAAGAGCTGATTATATAACGACTTAAGCTTCCCCCTGAACGACTCGAAATGTCGACGGCAAACTTTTCTTTTATAAACGGCCATTCGTTTAAATAAATGGACTCCTCGCGGATAATAAGACGCTCGCGCGTCTCGGTTTCTTTGATCCCCTTTATCCTTTCGCGCGCGCGGCAACGGCGCGTACATCCTTACATCCTGCCTTTATACGTCGTTAGTCAACGTCTCCGTGGAAAGGACATCGATTTACGAAGCGCCGACAGGAAGAAGAATTTCCATTCGTTTTAGTTTGCGCGTGAGGTTTCGGGAGGAGGGGAGGAGGGGAGGAAGGGGAAGGACGCGATGACGTTCACATCACGTTAACCGCTTTGTCGACGTTTCTCGCCGCGAGAATGTAATCCCGTGGAAACGACAATACTTCGACATTGTATACGTGTAAGACTCGACTGTGTCGAAATTACGACCTTCGAAAATCTTTTGATCCTCGTTCTGACTGCGCATCCAGCACTAAATCCTGCCGGACTATTGTCGGTGTCATGTCGAAATTTTCTATTGATATTTGTTATTAAATATTTGAAAATTCAGGAAAATTTCCGAGGTGAACTTTCAATCTGAAGACAATTGATTAAGTAATAAATTATATTATTTTTAATTGAATAAAGCTCCAAATTCGAAAATTCCTTCGCTATAAGATTGGTATCTTGACATTTTTTTACCCGAGAGAAAAATTTAAATGTTAAAGATTTTTGAAAATTAATTTCTGTCGGAAAAAAATTATTACACTTCACGTTATGCAATTTAATTCTGGCAATTCCGGACTAAATAAATGTACGCGACGAGAAAGAAAGATACTTTATACGAGCAATGATACTTATCGCCGTTGTTAACTGTAATTACCAGTTCCCTGACACGGCACGAGGATATATCTTGATGGGTCTTCTCAGATTTAATTCACCGGAAATCGCGTGCCGGAAGAACAACGGGAGAAACGAGCTGCGACGCATTGCACCGTTGATATTCCGATGTTTGGTCTCCTTGGTGGATATATGTATAGTGCTTTAGGTGTACCATTTAACCCTCGTTAAACTCTGCGAGTGCAGCAATTAGATGTATTATTATTATTTCGCTCGTGGCTGCTTTTGCGCTGAACAATTGAGTAAGTGAATGCACAGTAGCTCGTACAAAACTTGCAAATGAAACATTTAATTACACATTGCCGATTTTGATATAAAAGAAAATAAAGAATTATTTAAAAACAAATTAACTGGAGAGGAAATTTAGATATAAGAGCGAAAATTTAAAATATATATTTATAAATATTAAACTGTAATTTTTTTCTATAGAATTAATTTAAATTTCTTTTAATTTTAGAATTAAATTTTAAGATTGTTCCTTAGAGTTCTTGCACACACATGAAATCCTTAATAATTGTAAATATTACATCAAATTTTTTTTCTTTTTTTTTATATTTTTGTTAAAATCGTTTAGAAACTGCAAATTAATTTTTTTACATAAAATATATATGTACAGAATGTCATGAATCTATTAATATTCCTGCAATGCTTCGAATAAACGATAAATGTCGAATAAATCGCGAAATATGATGTGACGGAAATGTAACAATAGCGGTTTTCCTTTGTGTCATGAAAAGTATAATCCAGAGTATAATTGAGTTTATTTAACAATTGTATGAATAAGATCCGATCTCAAACTCGCACGATTCGACGGAATGCAGATCAAACAAAAAAATAAAGTCTCGCAAAATAAAACATTAATATACTTTTTTTATTGTTTATTAAAAAAAAGAATTTACTAAATCTTTAATTCATTTGTAGAAAATATTATAATTATTTTATTAAAGAGAAAGTATATATTTTTATAACAGATTTGTTACATTTTTGTTTACACACGTGTTTAAAATATATTCAAGAAATATTTAAAAGTTTCTTTAAATATGAGGTACATTTTGTAATTTTTTAGTAGTCTGTATATATTAATATTTCCGTTCATATTAGGATTATATTTTCCAGCACACTTAATTATCGAAAAAAATCAACAAAATACATATCTCTATTCGAAACGTATCGAGTCGTGAAATTAATCCACTCGAGATAAACTCCGACACTGCAGCGTGCGGCAAATTGAAATAGGACAGCCCCTCATCCTCTAAAAATCTCTACCCCAATCGGGAGTTTTGTGCTCGCGTGTCCCTTCGTGCTATTAATAATAACGCATCCTTTTTTCTGATCTGCTCTGTATAAAATCGCGGTACACGAATGAATGAAAGAATCGAGCATCCCTCTGCGGCAGGTTTTTCTGCGGGCACCCTTCTGGCCAATCTGGCCCCTCTTGTTCTCCCTTCGTTTCAATGGTTCCTTTGGGGCGGGTGCGCGTTTTCGTTCCCCCGAAAATTTCGCATTATTGCGTAAAAACCCGTCTGCGTGTTTCAAGATTTTATGCCAAGATATTTTCTATCGAACGTATTGAAAAGAGATTTTAGGCTTTCTTCAAATTTATCTGCCCAAAAATTCTTAATTTAAATTAATTCTGGCGAAAAATCAACTCCAAATTTGCCAAGAATTCTGCCATTAAAATAATAAATACATAGATATCATATGCATATAATAACAGTAACAATTCTTCGATTAAAAAGCGATAATCACAGTATTATTGGCAAATTTCTTATCTAAATATAGAGATGGAGCTGGCACAGTTTTTCTTTTCTTTGAATAAAATATAAAACTTCCACCGATATAACGATTCAGTTTGCATCCCAAACATGCGCGTCAGTTTATTATTTCAATTGTTCGTTCAGTCCTTCCGACCAAACCCTCTTCGGGAGCTTCCTTTCGTTCCTCGTGTTACAATTCGTCAAGCCCTGTCAAAACGACGCGGCAATTCTGTCAAAGGGAGCCGGAATATCGGTCGATTCTTTGATACTTTTTATTGTTTTCGCGCATCGCGTTCCATTTTTTTTTCATTCTATATCCGATTTGCACGGCCCGAGGGAGAGGATTGTCAAGCATTGTTATTGTTTATTTGCTTTTATGTATCTCGTTTCCAAACCGAGTATTTTCGGTTTGCAAAATTGCAAATTCGTTCTCGAAACATTGTTGCAACCGGCGAGCCTGACACGCAATCAGCTGTGTATTAAATAATATTAAAGTGTCGTTTAACGAGAGAGAGAGTGCGATATTTCCTCTCTGCTGCATTGTTTTTCATCGTCCATTTATTTATAATCGCGTCAGTGAGAATGTTTCGTATATTTTCGTTATATTTTTTGCGAATTTATTGTGACGCAATTTTGCAAAAAATAAAAAAAACCACATATGTTTACAAGTATTAAATGGATGTCGCACACGAGGACGTCGTTCACCGCAACGTTTGCAATACGTTAAATTACGTAACTATCGCCATTTCCGTTCGTTTTTTTCCTTTCTTTAATAATCGAGTCGACAGCTTTTCACAAGCCGCCTGCGTTTCTCAGTCATTATTAGCGCGAGCGGGCGCCCGCGCTAAGAGAAAGAATATTATTATCTTAACGACCGCCTTTGTTCGCGTCCGGTTATCGTTCGCATCTTTATTACGGTAGCAATGGCATCCATTGAATTCGCAAACGCGCAAATATTCCCTTCGTTCCGAAATATTAGCATATATTACGTGTAATTCTCGCGGTGCTTCTCTGCCATTGTATCCAGGCAACTTTGTTTCCGGAACAATTGTTTCGTTCAACGAGAATCTATTCTTCGCACTGTTTAATCCCCGACACGATCTGTTTCACCGATCGCGTTTCTATCTCCGCGAAAAGCCTTTCTCATTTCCATCACGGGAAACGCCGTCCATATCTCTCATTTCATGGTCATCAGCGAGAATTCGCGATTTAATTTCGTTGAACTCGATGCAAAAATCGCTTCCATATTTGTCCGTGACGCGGTAACGTTCTTTTTCACGCGACAAATCGGGAATTCAGTTCATAACAGTAGTTGTAACAGTTCGTGTGGTTTTACAAAATTGAGCCTTGATGTCCGACACGCGAGAAACCGGCCTCGGAGCAACGGAACGCAAAAACGCCGCGGAAACGGGACAAGTCGCGCGAATCCATTCGCGCGAGTAGGTGAGTAGGTAGGTAGGTAGGTAGGTAGATAGGTAGGTAGGTAGGTAGGTAGGTGGGTAGGTAGATAGATAGATAGTCGAACGGACTCACAACGTAGGTAGATGCTGCAACTGCCGCGTTAACGGGTGCACCGCTCTTTCCGAAACGAATGCACGAGATGCGATTATAATGAGCGAAATAATGCACTGTGATAATGCACTGTGATATTAGAATCATTGGGAGCTCAGTCTACTGTAGCAGTACGAAAAGTTTATGATTTAAACAAATTTTTTAAGATTATTAGAAAGGAATTTTTTTGACATTTCACACATGTTTTTATATGTTTCGATAATATTTTTGAATTTTGGATATTTAGCTTTTTTGCGTGTTTAAAAATGCATGGTAAAATGTTGTAACGTATCTAAAACGCTGAGATCAATTTTTAATATTCTTCAAAAAAATTCCTAAAAATCGTCAATTTTTCATATCGCTAGAATAGACCGAGCTTTGGATACGACGAAGTGTAATTTAAATATTTGGGGAAATGGAACGATGTAATATAACAGATTTTTAATTAAAAAATAAAAGATTGCGCGATTGTAAGTTTGTCTCTTTGAAAATAATGAAATTGGTAAAAATAGATTAAAATATAATAGATGAAAAATAACATGAGAATTTTAGGAATAATTATTTTTTAACAATTCCATAACGATTATATATTAAAATATTTGCGGGGATTTTCTCTCATCATCTTATTTATAGCTTTTATATCAGTTATTAATTTTATTATTGTTGGAGAGATTACATGCTCTATTTAATTAACGGTTTCCATGATTCAACTCTTACTTACGTGTCAAATTATGGATATTTAAACAGTAGTACATCTCAATAAATCCGATTAAATGAGAGATATATATTAGGATAATGATAATTACACATTCCTGAAGATCTATTACCATTTCCCATGCTGTCCCTCGTGGTCGTTGAGGTTCCGCGAGTGCCCTCCTACGTTCTGGAACAGTGACAATCAGACCGAAGAGGCTGCATTGTTGTCGGGCATGGTTTACGAGCGTGTAGCACATATGCTCGAATATCAGCAGATACGCGATACTCGCATTTCTGATGAATAGTAGATTTCACCCGGTGATCCCGAACGTTATCGTTATTACCAGTAAATCATCGAGGTGACGTTCCCCATCGTGCTGGTGTAAATGTACAGTTTCCAATTTTTCCGAACCTCCGCTTTCACTGCCTGGCCTCGTCTGTTGTCAGTCCTATTTTCTAGTCGACGTTTTCGCGCTGGTGTAAAAGTACTAGTTTATTATAATAACATTGAGAGTAAAATCTATAATTTATGATGAAATGTAAATTATATATAATTTCTATAACTTTCTACTTAATGACTATTTGATTGTCAGTGTGTCGTTTGTAATGCGTATATTTTTTATAATTAATGCAACATATATCTTTATAAAATATCACTTAACGAGGGAAAAATGTAGGTGTTGCAAATTGTGAGCTCTTGATTATATAAATTACGTAGAGAAAGCGCGTTCCGGCTACACGTGCGACTTGAGTCTTCGGGAACATATGGGGATCAGAGTTCGATATATTCAGCCAGTCCCTCCTTTACGGCGTCCCACGGGGTTTTGTCGATAAATGCGCGAATACCACGAGTCATTCGTTTCACGTATTCGACCCAATCGAAGTTACTCATGTCGAACTCGAATATCTCGCGATCCACCGCGTTCATTCGTCCCCATAGTTTGACCATCGCGTTATTCGTAAAGTGCCACTGCTGCGTCGTAAAGTAAGACGTTGCCGAGAGATGAGCGTGTATCAGATCGTAGATCTTGCACCACCTGTGAAAGCAGAATTTTGCAGGTATATTTTAGAAAAATAAAATGATAATAAATGAGATGAGGGAAAAATACCCGACCTTGCGTCTCGGCCGGTGACAATAGCCGCCGCGTCCACCATGATCGCGGGCAACAAGTGGAACAGGAACATGAGAATCTTGTGTATCCACAGTCTACTGGTCCAAAATATGCACTGTAGCCGTATGTCTTTCGCCCCAGGTATCTTCGATGCGTGGTTGCGTACGTGTTTTCGAAACGTTTGCCAGGTTATCGGACTTTGACACGAGGAAACGCAGTTGTACACCGGTACCCTTTCCACGTTCGGCACAATACCGGTATCCACGTCTACTTTAAAGTCCTTCTTAACGTTCCTATTGACAAAAATTGAATACTGATTCGAGCGTCAAAATCTTTAAAAAGATTGCGTCTTTTAAAAAGCATAGCGTCTTTAAACTTCGCATTTTGATAAAAAAAATTGATGGAGAATATGTAGAATTTACTCAATAATTGATTTAATATTTAGTAATCAATTACTAATTAGTAATATTTAATATTTTAAATTAATATTTAATAATTAGTAATTAAGACTTAATTAATTAATGATTAATTTAATTCTTTTTTCTTGTTGACACAGAAATTTATTTCGAAATCGTAGCATCCTTAAATTTCACATTTTGATAACAAAAATAATCGAAGAGCATGTGTAATTTGCTTAATAATTAACTTAATATTTGATATTTAATAATTAATGATTAATTTCTTCTCGTTGATACAGAGGTTTATTTATATTATTATGTAATCTTATTTTAATTCGTGTTTATTTGCATCGCGATCGCTATTCCGTGTAAAAGGAATACGAAAGAAAATATTCATTGGAATAAGAATTAACGAGCTCACCTCACGTTGGTGTGCCAGGCGGCGGCGATCAGACTCGACGTCACGTAATCGGCCGGTACAAAGTCGAGCTTTTTGTCGGTGTGGCAATGTATCGTGCGCAATAAGCCGAGGCTCGAGCCGGCCAGGAGGCCAACGGGCCCGTAAACGCTGTCGGTCCAGCCCGCGATCGGCTCCTTCCAGGTCGGAGTCACGACGGACGATCGCACGATGCACGCCGGTATCCCGCCACGATATCGCAGCACCGTGTCCTCCGCGATTGCTTTCGTAAATGCGAACACGTTGGGCCAGGTGCCGATCAATCTGTCGAATGGATCAGAGAAGCTCCCGTGAGAAAATGCGCATCGAGAAGGGCGCGAAAAAATAGGAAAAGTAGAACTTTTTTTCTAATCTTCGAATAATCGATCGAAAAATTATTCATGAAAAATATTTTATTTTATTTTTGCTCAAACGATGCGACGTGAACAAATTTCTCGCACTTTTACACGTCGAATTTCTTGTCTAAATATTAAAAAAAAAAACGTTTTCATTTTGAATTAATACTCACGCCGGAGCGATAGTCTCCAATTTATCATCGTTCAAGTTATTTAACAGTGACAACAATTTATCGGTCTCCAGGGGCGGGGGATAATGTTTCTCTTCGATGGATTTGATTACGGAATAAGCGAAGACGGACGACAGATGAACAAAGGCCTGAAAGTTTGTAATTTATCGCAACGAACTCTTAAAATATACTATTATTATCCTAATAGAATTATTATAAAATAATTACCTTGAGATCAGGCATCTCTTTCGCCAACAGTAATATTTGCTTGGTGCTTTGCACATGAATGTTCGCCATGGTGCGCAATTTTTGATTGGAACGTATAATCGTTGTACCGTGAAAAATAACGTTTGTATCGAGCAGTGTAGTTCGATCTTGCGGAGACAACCCTAAATTTGTCGTGTTCAAATTACTTTCGATTACTATTAATTTCTGCAAGAAGTCGGGCTGTTCCTTCTTCAATCTCTCGTATAACTAAAAGATTTGACAATTTTTTCTATTAAACATTAAAAAACAAACAAATATATTGATAACACGCATAAAAAACAAACAATAATAATATTTATATATCACTGTTAGTAATATTTAATTTAGTATTACTATTTATATATTAAAATAATAGTAATATTTATATCAACAATTTATATCACTAATAATAAGATTTAATATATTACTATAATTTATATATAAAATAATAATAATATTTTAATCAATAATTTTACATTTAAATGATATATCACTCATTTATTTTTTGAAGATCATATTTTTATAATAAATATTTTCGCTAATGAATATAAAAAAAAATCTCACGGGCATTTCAGCAAGTTGCTGGATGCGTTCTTGAGGACTCTTTCCATTTTTTCTTCTCACAAATACGTACAATATCGCGATGTTCGGGCAGGATCTATGCGAGAAATGCGCAACATTTTGCGTATAAATAACTGGAAGAAAGTTTTCTGCAAGTTTGACGGTGGATGATTTATGCTTACCGCAACAATTTTTCGATTAGAAGCTTCCCGAGGAAGCCCAAGCCACCTGTTACGAGAACTTTGCGGCCTGAGAAAAATTGCGCAATTTCACTTTGCGCCGTATCGACTTCCGTCTCTTCGCTGAAACATTATAATTTCTCGCAATTATATTTGTACATAACTCGTGATAATTTATAAAATAATGTCGCAACATTTATATATCTCTTACATTCGGTTAGTCATCGTGGTTCCTGATAATATCTGCGCTTCGATAATTCTCCAATTGTCGAAGTTACTGTTATCGGTATCAAACTTTGACTGTGACGAACTACGTCCACCTTGATGGAATATATAAAATCTCATTATGAATAATGCATTCTAAATCCGTGGAATGTCAAACGATTGGCAAGTTAAATCAAAGCTATACAATGCATGCCATGACTCAACATTTTCGAAGTACATATCAATCGAGTTTCGATATTTACCTGTCTAACAAATATTATTTCGTTTCATCCTGATAATTTCTTCGGGCGATTGCGATGTAGTCGCAAACATAAAATCGTGCAAAAATTATTTAAGAATTATCCATTTAAATTTATTAACATTTTTTATATTAACGCAATTAATTAAAATTATCTTTTTTTATCATAAGTTTCTTCTGAATAAAATATTTTTTAATCAAATTTAAATTTATTTGATTAATAACAAGCTAAATGCAACACGTCAATTTCAAAGAAAATTAATTTTTTCAAAATTGAATTATTGTGCACGAGGTACATATTTTCCTTGGTGTGAAAAATGTGTGCATGATTCAAATTGAAAGAAATTAACTAATTTTCTTTGAAACTGACGCATTATTATACGCGTTCTGACTCGTACTATCTCGATAAATTTAAATTTGTTTTCACATTGAAAGATTTATTAAATTCTTACTTATTTTTTGTCAATTTTTGATCAATTATGTACGAAATATATATAACAGAAGAACAAGAAGTTCCTAAACTTATTTTAAAATTAAAAAAGCCGATATTATATTTTTCTATTACAAATATTCTACTATAAAATTCTATTATAACATTTTACAAATATTCTATTATAAATAGGTGTCATTGACATCACAAAAATTTAAATTCTTTGCATAAATTTTCAGTATATGTGATTGCAAATTAAGAATTCGTAACGTTAGATTTTTATAAATAAAAGGTTAAAGACCCTCTAATAAGAATCTGAACACTAGCGATTTTTTTTGATTAATCAAAAAATTTTAAAAATAAAAATGGCAAAATAAAAAGTTACATTTGACATCATTATTCAAAATATATAATGATATATATTTTTATTTTTATTTTAGTAATAAAATTTTTTTATATATTTATATATATATATAAGAAATTTCTATTATATATTTCTTCAAATTCTCGTAAGGTTACATTTTCTTTCATAGTAAAAATATTAAAGGAAGAAAAAGCTGAACAAGATATTTAATAATAAATATTCAGCAATATTTAAATCAAAAACTTGTCATAAAGATAAATATATTTCTTTTTTATTTAATTAAATAATAAAATTTCTAAAGAAATTTTAAAAGATTTTTATTAATTATATAAAATTATATAAAATCTTTTTCTATAAACATTGAAAGAGATTTTTATCGAATTAACATATAAATTTAGTAAATACAAAATTAATTCCTTATTTAAAAATTCAAGTGTCCAGATTCCTATTAAAGGATCTCTAATAAAACGTCTACGAGGTACTGCATCTCCATTCGCCCCAAGTAATGTCGCTAGAGAAAGAGGCGTAGGTGCGCTATAAACGTGTATTCCGTAAGGAAAGAGAAAGAAAAAACATTCATACAGGGGAAAAAATACACGCGACAGTGCGTCGAAAGACGGAGATGGAAAAAGAAGGAGAGACGAGAAACGAAGAGCACGTTTTCTTTCCCTCGGGGGCCTGTGCGCGCTCGAGCGCACGGTTCTTCTTCCCCCTCTATACGCCACTCTTACCCCCTCCGGCGACCACCGCCGGGGTCTTACAGCGCCGGGGAGGGACGCATGCGTGACGCTCGTCATGCGTCACACTTCATACTCGTTCTGTCGCGCTGTCCGCGCGCACGTGCGTCGTCGCATCTTACGATCTCTCTTATCGTCGTTCGATTTGCGCGTGTCGGAGAGATGCGAGATTTTGCGTGCGAATCGTAGTCTCGCGGAGTGATTTCGAAATCTGAATCGCGAGTGTATGCGGGTGTGTGTGTGTGTGAAAGAAGATTGTGCGCGTTCATCTTTCACGCAACCTTAAAATAATCTCGCGCTTTAACCTCGTGTGCGAATACGAATGCGTTGCTCTCGAATGGAAATCTCGAGATTTTTTCCCTCTTGTCATCGAAACTCGGCAGACACGAACAAAGACAACGCGAGGCCGATAATAGTGTCGAGTAGCAGTCACGGTTGATCGATCGGGATCTGCTTTCCGATCGTGTACCTCGGTTTTCAATTTCCATCTCTGTCACAGGGAGAAAGATACTGTTGTAGACGGTAAATCGAGTACGCGCTAATCGGTCAACTGTCACCGATAGCGCTTTCGATCTCGATTGCGAACCAAAGACTACGTGCGCCTGAATCCAAAGGTCTCTACGCTCGACCGAGAGTCTCTCGTTTCCAGGAAAAATCCGAGAGATACAAGAGCCGCAGATAATAGCGCGTTGTCTTTCTTCTCACTCGGAAAGGATTATTCACCTCTCTGAAGTCGACCGTAAGTAACTTGGCTGCGTAAATTCACTTTGATTTAACTTGCTTGGGAATCGGCTTTGTTTACATATATACAGTTTGTTATTGTCGCGTACGTATCGTATGGTTATGTTTTTTTTCTCGCGGGCGGTATTGTTTATTGTGGAATTTGATCATCGATAAAATATTAATTTCCGAGAATCCGATGATACGTCGAGTTATATGATATTGTTTCATATAATATATATTTATTTATTTATTCATTCATTATTTATTTATTTGAAGAAAGAGAGAATGTGTATGCGAATGTTTTAAATGCGTGAGTTTAATTCTCTGATAGCTTTCAATTAAAAATAATATATTATTAATATATTGAAATAATTAAATAATTAAATAATTAATATATTGAATGTGTGATAGGAAAATCTTTTCAAGTCTTTTATGTCGATTATCTTGAGAAGCGTTTTCTGTTTTTGTCACAAGACGGTGTAATAAATTAAAGTTTTCTTTTAAATGTAATAAAGTTTTCTTTTAAATGCGCGATTTCTTTATGTACATTAAAGATATCATCCGTTATCTCTACAGATCTCGATAAATTGAAAGCTTATAAAGAAAAAACACAGTACAAAAAAAAACAAGAAATTGAAGCGTATTTAAAACTATATTATATATTTCAGATTTTTATAAATGGAAGCTTAAACAGATTTTTCGAAAATATTCTGTTTTTAAATTATATATATTTCTTATAAATTGAAATTGCAAGAATTGAAATCACACATTTAAAATAAGGATTTTTATAATAGCCTTGCATTTTAATAAGAGATCGATTCATATTTTACTAAATAATAATAATAATAATAATTAAATATTAAAAAAAGCTTTTACATTATTGTTTAATTTATTTGTGAAAAAAAGACATTTAATATTTTAAGATAGATTAAAAAATTAAAGGGATTTATTTAGTTTAGTCAATCAATTCAATTTAGAGTTTAATTAAAATAAAATCCATTCACTCTTCATACACATATCTCTCTTTCTCTCTCTCTCTTCATACATATATGCATAGCTTAGCTATAAATTAAAATAACAAATGGCAAATAATCAGACTCGTCGAATATATGTATAGATTGTCCGTGCAATCAAATCCAAGTCTCGCGCGATCCATCACTATCTTCCGATGATAGGATCTCCGATCGATCTACGCGTGCCAAAAGCACACGAAAGCAACGAGAGACGTCGCGCTATCCATCAAAGGAGTACCCTCGAGCCCGCGGGCTGAGAACGCTCTCTTATCTCGATAATGGTTATCGAATAGACGAGAGCTCGGAGACTCTCGAGCCGAGCACGAGAGGAGGAGGGAGAGGAAGAGGACGAGAATTAAGCGCGAGAATCATCGAGCCGAGCGGAGGGCGGTCGACCTCGAGATAAGGGAGGACAGCAACGGGGAGGAGCTCGCCGATTGTAAATTATATTCACCCGCGACTGCGACGGAAAAATCAGCCGAGCCGACGAAATAATTATTGTGCGCGTTCCTCGTCGTTTTCTCCTTCTTTCGCAAAGAGAGGGAGAGAGATAGAGAGACTAGGGAAGGTGGATTAATCGCGTCATGCCGATCGCGACGTGAGTTGAATGCGAGGTCCACCACGAGGTCGTCGTCGAGGGGCGGAGAACGCGCCCGTGGCACAAGGTGATCGCCAAGGTGTCGTCGCGGCGATCCTCCATCGCCGGACAGAAAGTGACATAAGAGGAGAGGAAGGTGGCAGAGCGGGACCGTTCGTCTGGATGCCAGTTCTCGAAGGTGGAGTGCGCAAAAGGGCCGTGCGCAAAATGCGGATGAGGATCTGCGCCGCGACCAAGGAGTCCTACACGCTCCTCTCGAAGAAACGGTAAAGTGTTTTTTTTTTCCCTCTATCTGATCTTGCGGGGTGTCTGCCGGGGAAACGGGAATTTTCAGGGATTTCTTTTGTATCTGGAAAACTTGAGAAATTCTATGCATATTCGAGGGCTTTTCTTTCCTCCCAAAAAAGTCTGATCATTTTGCTCTCGTAAACAATCGACGCGTCATATGAATTTTAATGTATTTAAAATATTTTTTAATATTTTTGCATGTTTGTATGTTCTTAACAAAATGTTGGATATACGGTACACGGTTTTTTTATTGCAATTTTTAGTAACAGAAAAAAAGAAACTGCAAGTGAAAAATGTTTATCCTGCTTAGTATTTCTCTTTTTTCCAGTACATTTTTAGAAATGTGGCACTTGAAACTCGAGTGGCTCTGTGTTTTTCCATCGTAAAGCATTAATGAAAATACGCATACATTAAATTTTTTTTTATTTTTTTTAACTACTTTAGAAAAATGCGTTGAAAAATCTTTAAATTGTTCTCTTGGGATTTTAAAGAAAAATACCTGAAAAAATCGGAATATTTTTGCAACATTCGAGCAGACACTCTGTCTTGTTACTTCTGCAATGTGAAATTGTTTAGTGTGTAGAAATTAATCAAATTAAATATCAATGGAAAATATCTTCGATTTCGCGCGTTCATCTCATTGTTGGGCTTCTCTCTTCCAAAGAATCCGCGAATTCGCGATGCTCTAAACGTTCATCCTCGCGTCCTATGTATCCCCGGTTTCCGTCGAACGGTCAGCGATGTCCTCCTTTAGCAATTCGCTAAAGTCGAACGACGCAGCGGCCGTGGTTACAGTTAAAACGTACGAAAGCGGAAAGAAGAGACACGGAGGTTGAGAAGGAGGAGGAGGGGGCGACGAGAGTCGATCAAACCCGTAATCACAATTTACGGACGAAATATTTATGGACTGTCATTTCGTAAATTACCGCAAGATTACGGCTCGTTACACGGCTGCACTCGCGCGCGCGCAAAATCGAGGGTGAGAGAGAGAGAGAGAGAGAGAGAGGAGAAAGAGACAGAGAGTCCGGTCGCGCGGGACGTGTAACGGGTACGCTCCAACTTTCAACGACACTGCAATCTCCATACACGGAAAGGAGGACGATGTGAATATGCATCTCTTATCGGGGGTTGAAATTTTACGACCTGTCGCGAAATTCCTCAAAAATCCCCTTACGCTTATCCTTTCTTTTGGACTGCATAACTAAGCGCGAATTTGCAATTTTACGACCATGTATTTTGCATACATAAATCATAGAACGCGCACGTAATCACATTTAGAAAAAAAATAGGATATAAATAGGAGCGTAGGAAAGGGGGGAGGGGGACACTCGTTGGTATTCGACACCAAGATGATCGATAGTCCATTAAGCTTTTCCTTAGCCGTATCAAGAATCGATTTATACGGCAGCTCAGAGAGAGAGAGAGAGAGAGAGAGAGAGAGAGAGAGAGAGAGAGAGAGGGAAGGGAGGAGGGGGTTTTAGCTCGCGGGTACAGAAATAACTTGGCTCGAGATATATAAACGCGCGAGAGTGTCTCACGATTATTGCGTAATCCGGGGTATTTCCAATCCTCCCGATTGTCCCGGGGTGAAAATCGGCCGTCGTTTAAGCCATTATGTCCACAAGCGACGAGACGTATTCACGCGTCGAGCATTCACCGCGCGAACGGAATTATAATAATTCACGGCGCGTCGTCATAAATATTCATTCGCGCGTAACCGTGTACCTTGATTATTTACACAGCTACGTATGGAAAATTATAAACGAACCTCTTAGAATTTTTGGTATCCGATTACCATCATCGTTGACGGATAACGACCTGGATACCCTCGGTACGTTTATATCGCGGAGGAGTAAATGTTTCACGGTGTATTGTTCGCCAATAAAGATAAATTATTGTCCTTTTTATCGCATCGTGAACTTTCGTAACTAACTTTCGTAACTAACTCGGCGATAATTAATTGAGACGGGACTTTTCTGAAACTGTATTTAAAATGATATGATAATAAATTAAATGATTTCCTTATAAAATTCCTTTACATTAAATAAGAATTATAATTTATTTTCGTAAAAGCGAACAATAAAATTAACAAAGTTAAACTTAAAATTCCTTCACAAATTCTGTAAAGTAAATAATAAATTATGCAAAAAAGTTTCTAAATTAATTACCTAAAAATTAAATATAATATATTTAATTATTCGGAGATTAAATAAATAAAGTTTCAAAGACATATCAATAATAAAAAATTCAAATGAAGATTAATGAAGATTGAACATACTAACATTTTATTTATTTTTTAAGTATTACGTTTCACGAAAAAATTTATATTGAATTTACTTTTATAATTTATATTTGTATAATAAAATATATATAAATATAAAAAATAAGACATTCATTTCAATAAGACATTAATTTTTTTATAAAGTGAAAGCTTCGTTAATCTTTCTAATTTAAATTTATAAATGAATTTATAAATATTTTTTATAAATTTTTTTTTGCTATGCGATTGAATGATATAAATTTTAATTTATTAAGAGTACTTGTTGAAAAAAAAATGTATAAATGCGCATATTACACATTAGATTACAGATTACATGTTAAACGATGCGTTATTATGGAAATCATAAAATCGAAAGAGAAGTATCGGGGCTGAAACGTCACTCTTAATACTGATTTAGTAGTAAAGGGATTCGAGGATGAGATTGGCAAAAAGGGGTGACTAGAGATGCCCCTAGGGATGTACAGGTATAAAGGCAAACATCTCTCTGTCTCTCTCCCTCTCCCTTTGTGATTCGAGATCGCTCGGATATAACTTTGAAAAACAATTTAGCTTGGAATATTTATTGCCCAGGGAGATGAAAAGGGAGGACAAACTTTTAGATAGGAAACACGAAATACGTTGAAAGTGTTAAATTTTTCCGAAATTGTCCTTTTTCAGAATTTATGTATTGGAAATGACAGCTTTTCTAAAAATTTATTGTATTTGAAATGAAACAGATTACTAGTGTTTTTTTTAAATATATATAAAAGAATTTCTACCTATCGTTTATGCTTGTATTATTAAAGATATACCGTATTCTACGTAAAATGAAATTAATTTCTCTCTCACGAAAATTTAAATTATATTTCAAAGTTTGCGATTAACGCAAGTATATAACAAGAATGTTTTATCTTTATCTTGTCTCCCTTGTCTTCAATGAGCTTTGTGCATATTCGAACAAGGGCAATGGGGCACTGTCCCCCCCAGGCAACAGTCGTTCTAACTCGATATGACGACAGATATAATTCGCACCTCGCGCATTTTTTTTTTTTACTTCACGTTTATGCTCGAGTAGCTTCGATAGTTTGCTTCGTGTCGCATTTTAGCATTTAAAGATTACATTCGCTGATATTTTCCCGGCGAATCTCCGCCCATGCCGGGTACGAGACGCGTGTCTTATGGGGTATCTCGCATTTATCGCAAGTTTTTCATCCAAGGGAGAAGTTGAAATTTTTAACAGAAAATGTTTAAAGCCCCATCAATGTCAAGTAACAAGTATTTAATCTGACATGCGATTATCGAGATATTAACGTAATTTAATTAATCTTGTAAATTGAAATTCTCTCTCCCAAGAAAGGCTTTTGCCTGAATTCTGCGATAAAGGAAACAAGATTCCATCAAAAATCAGCTCCGCGGTATTTGTACAGCAAAGATAGCGAGATACATACATCCTGCATATTAACACATAAGTCGAGAACAAGTAAAGCTGTGTGTTTGCGATATCTCCGACTATTCCTTCTCCTTTTCTCTCCATCGTTCTGCTTCCTCTCCCCTTCTTTCATTTCGCTCTCGTACGCGTTCACGCGTGTTGCAGCTGCCACGTTACAGTCTACACGCGTGTCGTTGTCGTCTCTTCTCATCTCGTCTCGTCTCCTCCTTCTCTAGCCCTCTCCTCGTTCTCTCCTAGGACCCCTCTAATAATGAATCAAAGTACTGTGTATCGTGCTTTTAGACTGTAGAACAGCGTCTAATAGCGGTGTTCCGACCCGTATTAGCAACACATTAGTCGCTATCTCAATCATTTTAATCGCGCCGTGGAATAATACGAGCTCGCAGCGTTTCATGTTGTAGGGTACGTTTACACATTTACGTTAATTATCACGATACCCGACATTTACATTTTCCACAACTAATTAATAACATTTTCCATGTAACCAATTTCATTACATTGATTTTTTTTACATTGTTTATGGCGTAATTGCTTGTTTTATGCTTGCTCAATCCAGCTGTGCAATTACCGCTAATGTCTTTTAAATATAATTATGTTCTTGTTAATTACCTTTCCGATTCATCCAAATAAAATTTAAAAAAGTAAAATAAAAATAATATAAAAAAAAATGTTATTAATTATCACGATATACGATGACCATTTATATTTTCCATGTAATGAATTTTATTACATTAGTTAATTTTTTTGCACTTAATTTATTTTACCGTGCTCACTCTAATTGCAATTGCCTTTAATGTCTTTTAAATATAATTACAATCTTGTTAATTATTTTTCTGATTCACCTGTTTGAGCACAATTTTATACAAAAAAATAAAATAGAGAAAAGTTCTTAATTATCACAATCGACGATTATTTAGATTTTTCATGTAATCAATTTCATTACGTGGATTAATTTTTTTTTATAATCTTTATCACGTAATTGTTTATTTTTTACCTTGCTTTACTTTAGTTGCGCAATTATCGCTAATGTCTCTTAAGTATAATTACACTCTTGGTAATTATTTCTCTTATTCATCCATTCGAGTAAAATTTTGCACAAAAAAGCAGAATAGAAAAGTGCTCTTAATTATCGATATTCAACGATCATTTACAATTTCCGTGTAAGCAATTTCATTACATCGATTAATTTTTTTTTACATTTATTGCGCAACATTCATTTGTTTACTTTAAACAATTACTGCTAATGTATATCAAGTATATTTCTTGTT